TAACCCGAGCGCTTGTGAAAGGTTCACCTTACACAAGCGCTCGGGTTATAGGGTTTTTATTCATTTCTATCAATATATTTGACATTGATACACAATAATAATATCTGTGTTTTGTTTCTTGTCTGTGCTTCCAAACGTAACGACACATACATTTGGATTGATATTTTTATTGCTTGTTTTAGTAAAAGAAAATTTGGCTTTTACATTTAAGTTATAACCACGTAACTTTCTCAGGAGTATCCTGCCATCTACTGGTGCCAAGGGACATTATTATTGTGGTATATGTAAACTTTATGCTATTCAAGTATGTGATAATGTTTTCTTTGTGAAGGTGTTGTATATACAATAGACGTTATTATATTAGTATCTTATATCTTATTATCTTGTCTATGTAATGTAAAATTATATTCATGTTTATCTTTTATATCTACTTCGTGCTTTACTTGTAATAGTGCCATGCAACCATGTAAGTGTTTATATTGTAAATAATTAAAGTATACGGCTATAGTTAGACATTGTCTGAAGTAACCAATAAAATTTAAACAGTTAACTTACTCATACTTTGTATATATTTTTGATACATTACTTAATCAAAGAGAATTAACAAATTAAAAGTTAATATTTCCCACTCTCTTGATGTGTAATAGCTTATAATGATTGTCATGTAATAGAAATATAAATAATGATTCACTTGAAGTTCTAGAGAATTTAGACTTCTCTCAGTAAATAAGTTCCATGTTTACTTTCATATATATTCGCACGCATGTATTTGAATCTGCTGAAATTTAAAGATAGATGTTGCTTTGGAGCAACTAATTACCACAACATATTATGCATCTATTATATATCTATGAAACAATGACAGCTCGTTAGAGTACGAAAAATAGGTCATACCTCTTTAAAGATTTCGAACAAACAAAATATATTTTTTAAGTTAATCCCTATATTTTATTTATCTTGGGTGTAACGTTCTTGGAAATTAGATCTTTTTGTAGCTCAAAAATCTTCTTGTTCTGCTCTATACCATTTATCGAGATGCCATCTTTTGAGGCACAGAATAATTTTGCCTCTCAGCTCATTTTTTTATTATTTGTACAATTTCTCTATACTTGAGACGGAAACAGTCGAACCTTGTTAATGGGTTTAACAAATGTAGGCAATTAGAATCTAATTTTAAAAACAACCAATGACAATCATTTTAATGCCTTCAATACAAAAGTTTTAGGGAAAAAATCTTCGGCTCATAATTAATTAAAGAAAAAAAAAAGTAGAGTAGGTGGAATTTAAAGTCAAGAATAAAAGAACATGGCCGTGTTCCATCAAACATTTGTGAACATTTTAAATATACTCAACATCACAATGAATGTAAAAATACAATTTTTTGTTGTGAACCGAATGTTAACTAAAGTAAAATAGAATACGCTATTGTAAATTAATAAAATGAAATCATTGTTTATACTTATTTGAAGATCAAGGTTATACTTGTAACGTCACTGGTAAGTGTATATAAAGGTGGTATACTGGTGTTTGATTTAAAATGTACGAATATAGTTCTGCTTATATCATACTATGTTTGATTTTTTACAAGATTACGATTTGACGTCGGCTAATTTATCTCCCAATTTTCATCACGTTTTGTGAGTTAAAGAAATTGGAGGCTAAATGTTACTTAAAACACTATTATGGACTAATAAAAACCTGTTGTTACTTTCGACACATAATACGAGGTACGTGTGCTTGGAAGATGAGGTGATAACGAACTTTTACTCCTGGTAACATGACCTCATGCTTTGATTCCACAACATCATATGATGTTTTATCGCATAATAATTTATCATAACTTGTTTCAACAGTATTATAAGTAATTTAATAGAACAAAAATGAAGATTACAAAATCTTATCATAGTATAATGGTTTTATAAGCCAGAACAAACTTAAAAAAAAATACAACAATACAACAAGAAAGATAGCTGACCTCGTGTTCTAGACTAAACATTTCGTCAGCGGCTATAAAACAGGACTACTCTCACGTATGTCTGAAGCGACTTGTCTGGTGTTTATATTTAGTAACAGGATAATTAAATAAAAATATCCCATTGGAAAATCAATGAGACCGATAATACATCAAACATGGTAGTTTGGCAGCACAAGTAAAATGATGACTTTTTTCTTATAAGGCGGAATTCAACGTTCTGTAAGGTTTTTATTTAATACATGAAAAAGCCACGATTGTAAGAGATCCGGAAAACGGTGATTTAACTGGAAGATCGAAGCTGTGTAACATCTGCTCTAAGTATTTGGTATTGAGATATCACACATAGGAAGCAGTATATCTATATAGAAAAAAATATATACCATTTCTAAACAAGTCAACTGGGTCATAAGATAATATTATTGCTGAGATGTGCTATGTTTTATTCGCGCTAGACAAAATTATATTATTTAAAAATTAGTTCATTATCTTAAATCTGTTATAATGATTTTTTAACTACAGCTCTTCACTACCATTTTAACTATTATAGAGATTAGCTAACTCATAACTGGTAAACATACTTATGCATATGTATGGATGTTTATAGGCCAAACACATGACTAAAGTTTATGAAAATCGAACAAATGAATTATTGTAATTTTATCTTTTATTTTTTTACTATCGTTTAGCTTTGAATATATTTAACGTTTTCTTTAACTAATTTATTTTTAAAAAAATCACTATGAACGCTCACAGTTTGACACGTTGTAAATAACTTAACTTTATAAGATTAGCCTAGTATTCGACAATAAAATTAACTATTAAAGATTTAGCAAATCTTTTAACGAACTAAATAAAATCAAAATAAAGAAGTATTTTAATTGCGCAAATAGTAAAATAAACTTACGTTGCAAGCAGAAAACGCCACCACAAACACGATAATGACTTGTATTAATTCCATCTAGAAATATAATAAATATGTAAGAAATAAATGAAGAAGGGTTTACTAAATGTAATATTTATCCATTTGTTATCAATAATTTAATGCTAAGTGTATAATACAACCACTAACACTTTCTCACGCAACTATATTCATAAATTTAATTTAATCACCATTAAATGAATTTTACAACTGTTACTACTTTTTCATCTATAATCACACTGTTCATTATAATAGAAAAATTTCACTTTGTAAATAGCACACTAAAATTCAATCACATCTACCGAATAGCAGTTACGTTTTGTATTTAATAGACTGATATATTTATAGCGGCTGAACAAAATATTCCTCCAAACAGTACGGCACTTGTAATAATTTTTTGCAATTTTATGATATTTATTTCTGTTACCAACGCCATGAGATCAATATGTATTATTGGTATCATTTTTGTAAAAACCCGTCTCCAAAATTTTCTGTCACGTGGTTTGAATCGCCCTTCTTTGTTCTGACAATTCTCTCTTTCTTATTGGCTTGTATTGTTTTCTGGTAGCTGCTTTCCCTATATATATAAACGTTAACATGAATTGTTTTAATTGACAACATATTAAGGAAAGAACAAGGATTTAATGTAATAAAAAAAAGAGTATACTTTTCATAGAGGACGCTTGTGCTGTGATGAAAGGGGAGAGAAAACAAAAATCCACTCTCAGAATTAGTATGACCGTAAACACCTTAAATAAGTTTTTTTTTTTACAGTATGTTACATTTTTATAAGAAGCATATTTAATGTAATGCACATATACTGAGATCATCAGTACATTTATTTACATCAAAACTTACCCCGTTTGTTGTTGATAGAATGATAAAAGTTAAAACGACAAGGTTTGCCAGAGTGTTAAAACCCATCCAAAACATCCACGGAAGGAGAAAAATCCTATTGTTCTATAAGATCACAAGAGGAAATTTTAAAATGTTGAAATGTTCATTGTTGAATATAATTGTCGTTAAGAAGTAAAAATTAATGTTTTAGTACACTCGTGGGACTATAATCTGCGTTTTTTTATTATTTCGTGTTTTGTTTTTCATTTTTACTCACCTGAAAGTTTTACTTCAATAAATCATTCTACAAAAAAGGTATCTTGCTTTTCAGAGGGCTCATGTTTTATATTTACTTATAAAAAAATAACTTTTCGAAAAACAGTTTAGGAGATTGACAACGTTTTCTTCATTCAACTTGTCTCATTTTTTTGGGTAGTAGACAACGTTTCAAGTTTTATAGAATTTATTTTTTTAAGTGTGGCACATCGTTATGTAATACTGGAAAATTCCGAATAGATTAAAACAGATTGGCTGGGATTCGAACTCACTTTGCTTACCATTTAGATGTTCCAGTCAATTACTGGGCCTATTAAATATTGTTGTTTTGATTCAGGCGTGGCCTAGTAAGTACCGTGCCCGAACTGTGAATCAAAGAGTTCAAGGTTCTCTTACCATTGTTGCAAAACCGTAGTTTGCTCTTTAGGACGGTGTAGGTCAGACAAAAGTAGCCCAATAGTTTGCTGTAGTGCTGTTGACTATAGCCTATCAGTTAAAAATTATGGACGACTATGCGCAGATAACCCTTTATATAGGTGTGGGTGAGATTATCTGATAAAGAAGTAATTTTGGCAGGACTTTTGAGCTAATGTCAATCAGTTTGCAAGGCCTAGGATCTTATTTATGTATGATTAAGAGTACGTGTGGAAGTGCCGATTTAAATTTTGAGGTGTAGTCCTTGTAATGTTAAAATAGTGGTCTTTTAAAGGTATCACACAATCTTGTAATGTTAGAATGGTGGCCTTTTAAAGGATTCACACAATCTTGTAATGTTAGAATGGTGGCCTTTTAAACGTATCACACA